CAGCTGCTGCACAGGAGAAGGATGGGCAGTCTCCTCCCAAGCGATTTACTGCCTCTGAAAACCCACTGGAGGGTTCACTAGGGGTCAGTTCCGACTCGAGAGGACATAACAACTAGCAGACAGTCGAACACCACACAGTCCTTGATGGTCACTTGCCTTTGTGAAATGACATTTAATTTGTTTCCCCCTCAGTTCAGAGCAAATGAAAAAGAAATGGAAAAAACACCTAGACTTGTGTGCCAAAGTTTTAGCATGCTAAAGTTCAAGATGAGGAAAGTGTCATTTCCATTTCTAGTGAAGTTGCTGTTTTTATAAAGGGGTATCTGACTAAAATGCTAAGGAATATATTTATCTTCTCTTCATACAAAATCTTTATCACATAATTAGCACCTTTCTCCCAGAAGACACTCACTAAAGGGGCTCTCCTGGACGGATGAGGAATTTTCCCAGTTTACTGTTCACGGCAGCTTTGGTGATCCCATCCATATGGAGCTGCATTGGTAACCCAAAGGTGGGCCTTTTTGATGTCCTGAATCCATGAGTCCCTGCTCGAACAGAAGATGGTCACTCTCCTCTTGTGTAACTTACAGGCTTGGAAAACACACTGGAGGGTCAGCTATGAGTGGATTCCAACCCAACGGCAATAAGAGAGCTGTTGCTGTTGGTATGTGCTGTCTCTCTTCTCTTTGAAAAGTAAAAGAAAAATCCTTTCATTGTTACACAATTTCTCCCCTCAAGTCCACTCCACTGTGCAGCCTTCATTCTGGACTCCTGTCATGACAATAATACCTAATCATATATCCCTTTTAAACAGTTCTCTCCCTCATCTGTTTCAATGCAGTATACATCATTCATCCCATCTGTCTCAGTTCCTCCCCAACCCTGATGTCAGTCCCCTATTACAACAGTGGCACTATGCAGTACCTGTCCTTTTGTGACTGGGATATTTCACACAGCATGATGTCCTCCAGGGTCACCCATTTTGCATAATATTTCATGAGTTCTTTGTTTTTCAATGCAGCATAGTGTTCCATTGTGTGAATATACCACAGCTTCTCTATCCATTCATTTGTTGATGGGCTCTTGGGTTGTTTCCAACTCTTTGTTATTAAGAACAAAGCCACGATAAACATGGGTATGCAAAAATTAAAATTAAAACATTAAAAACTAAAAATCTGGAGAGGAAGAAGCAACGCGGAGGGAACGGGAACAATTTGAGACCGCAGCCGGCACTATGAGCCTCCTCAACAAACCCAAGAGTGAGATGACCCCGGAGGAGCTGCAGAAGCGAGAGGAGGAGGAGTTTAACACGGGCTGCTCTCTGTGCTCACGCAGTCGGTCAAGAACAACACGCAAGTGCTCATCAACTGTCGCAACAACAAGAAGCTCCTGGGCCTTGAAGGCCTTCGACAGTCACTGCAACATCGTGCTGGAGAAAATGAAGGAGATGTGGACCGAGGTCCCCAAGAGTGGCAAGGGCAAGAAGAAGTCCAAACCCATCAACAAGGACCGCTACATCTCTAAGATGTTCCTGCGTGGGGACTCGGTCATCGTGGTCCTCAGGAACCCCCTCATCGCCGGCATGTAGGGCCACCCCCATCTCTACAGCCCTGTCCCACAGCCGCCTCCTGCCGCCCCTGGAAGACCTGTCCCGTACTGTGAATAATAAAGTCCCTGTGTGGTTTTTTCCTACTAAAAAACAAACAAAAAAACCTAAAAATCTGATGCTCAGTCTTCCTTCTTAAGGCCCGTCAGTTTGCTGCCCTGCCCCACCACCTCGAGCCAACCTACACTAGAGCTTTACTTTTCATTCACCATTCAGTTCAGCACACACTGCAGTGGTTCAAGAAAGCTCTCTTGCACAGTCAGCCTTCCTCACACCGAAGCTGGCCACGGAAGTTCGCGTGGCACAGTTCACACACAAAGGATATCATAAAGATACCCAACTTCCTCAGCCAGCAAAGCCCCACCTTCCGGGAGCGGACCCCATCCTCTTCCCATCAGCTTCACGGTCTTCCTGGGGAGTCTTGCCACCCGCTCCCTTCCCTGTGGACGCCTGCAGAAATGCTTTGTTTTCTGACATCAGAATCAGGATTTGCAGATTCTCAGGGGCCAAGTTTGTGCTTCGCTTCCTCATCCTTTTCCTTCCTGAGTCATTCTGCAAAGGGGTCACGCGTGTGCGGAGGAGAAGTTTCCATAAGATCCACAGAGGGAGACGCCAGAGCCCCCCTCTACACCCCCAGAATCTGATCAAGGCAAGGGACCCTCCCAGGAAGGATCTGAGGGGCAGTTTGCCTATCCAATCACGCCTTCCAACAGGAAGCACGCACAACATCAAAGCACAACTCGGAACACTGTAGGAAACGCTGAAGAAAGCTTCTTGCTAACAGAGATGTCTACACCCCACATGGTTCTGTCTAAACAAACACATCTCTGCGTTTTCAAAACTGCAACCATCGCCGCTTCGACATCCGAGAGCTTGAGTGGCAGTGTGCCCTGGGCCTGCCCTGCCCCACTCTGCTGCGGCTGGGACCAGGGGACAGAAGTGAAGGGGTGGTCCGCTTGGGGGTGGCGATGCCGACTTAAGTTATCCCACAGACATCTGCAGGCCATTACGCTGTAAAGCCAGGAAGATAAGTCTGCTCGGTGCTAATAACCCTAAATGAAAACCAGGAGCCTCAGAAAACCTCCGCTTGACGAGGTTTACGTGCAGCGTCCCTTCTGGCAGGAGACAGATCACAGACACCGCCCGCATATGCCCGGGGAGGGGCAGGGGGGGCGCTTCAAGTGAAGAAAAGGCCCACATGGACCTCAAAATCAACCGAGTGGCCGTGCGAAAGAGGAAAGAGTTAAAGAGTCCTGTGGAAGAAGTCGAAGCCGGGACCTCACTATTTACCCAGCAGAAATAATAGCAATGGGGCCAAAGAAAAGCAATTGCACTGCCCAGAGATTTCTTGTGGAACTAGGGATTTCCCCCCCGCCTCTGGTTCCCCCACACAATGCCCGCTCTGTCCCACGACCTGGGTCCTGAAGCATTAAAGGGTTCTTTTTCATTCCTTTCAAATCACTGACCTTATCATGCACGTATTAGCAGCTTAGGAAATTATAATCATAGCTGTGTCAAGTTTGGGTTTTCTGGTTTTGGAGTTGCTTGTACTCTTTACTGGGGAGGAGGAAGGAGGCACACAAAACCACTTCTCTGTTGACAGGAGCGTGCCGGCCCGCCTGCTGACAGAGGCAAGACCGGTCCAGCTGCTGATCCCGGCTTCTGACTGAGTACGCTCCACGCTGACCACAGAATCTCTGCCTCAGTCCTCTGTAGGGGTTCCACCCAGCAACCAAACAAAACACTAGAGGGGCCTCGGACCAGGGAAGCAGGGTCCCTCGCAGCTTGCCTCTCTGAGTGATTAGCTTCAGAGGTTCAGCACCAAGCTTCCAGGAGGATGCATGGAGGGTGACCCCGGCTGTGGCCTGGCCACACTGCCCAGGAAACAGGTCTCCAAGAGGTTTGCAAATTACCGAGCTGGGAGCAGCCTCCGTGCCCCAGGGCAAGGCAGCTCCTCTGACATGGCTGTGGCCCTAACCCGGACCCAAGTCTTCCTCCCCCTCCTCTCATAGCTAAATTACCTAAGAGTTTATTGCTTCCATAAATAAACAATGGCTTATTTATTTCCAAGGCAGATAAATAGCCCTTAGAGTTTGCCTCGTGGGGAGTGAGTTTGCATCTGCTGTCATTGTAAGTTGTCACGAGATTGGCTACCAGCTCATGGAGACGCACGCTTCACAGAAAGAAAGGCTCCCTGTCCAGTCCTGCGCAACCCACATGATCAGTTTCATATCAAATCATTCAGATCCACAAGGTTTTTATTGGTTTATTTAAGGCAGAAGATTGCCCCGCCTTTGTTCCTATTCTGAGACTGGAAGCTTTACCAAAACCTTTATGGCAACTTAGCAACATGCAAATCACCAATAAGAGATGAGTGTACCATTGAACTTGGGTTTCCTGCGTGGGCATCAAGAACTGTACCACTGAATCACCACTCTCCTCAAGTTTACAAGCTCCTCTCTAAATCTGCTCACTGAGCTTCCTTCTTGTTGTTGTTGTTGTTGTTGTTGTTGTTGTGTGCCACTGAGTTTGAACTAGGTGAGCTGACCCTCCAGTGGGTTTTCAGAGGCAGTTAATCGCCCAGAAGGAGACTGCCCATCCCTCTCCCGTGGAGAAGATTCAAACCACATGCCTTTGGGATCGCAGTACGGCTTCTAAACACTAGACTACCCTTTTCCCCAATGTGATGTTCACGACAGTGGTTATGCTCAAACTGCCACTTGCTGGTTAGGGACTGACCTCACAGATAGAGAAACAACGAGCGTGAGCACCCCACGTGCCTGCTGTGAGGATGAGGGGTGTTCACCAGGTAGAGGAAGCACCTGGAAGCGTGGCCAGCGGCTCTCTCTGCATGTGTGGGCTCAACCCTGAGCCAAGCAGGAGATATCTGCAGAGATGGATCTCGAAGCTCCAACCAATCAACTGAGCCTCAATTAATCTTTCATTAACTGCCTTTTCTTGGCTGCAGGGAAGGACAGTTTAAGAACAAACTGTTCTTTAGATTACTTACAGCTTCCTGAAAGTCTGAACACAGACTTTCATTTACTCACTGCTATTGAGTTGGAATCGATTTATAGCTGACCCTCCAGCAGGTTTTCAGAGGCTGCAAACTGTACAGTGGGAAATTTTCCACCTTCCTCCCAAGAAGTAACTGGTGGATTCGAACTGTCTGCTTTGGGTTGACAGTGTTATCTCTTACCCACTGATGTGTGCCACAGAGTCAGAACTGATCTGCAGCTGACCCTCCAATGAGTTTTCAGAGGCAGTAAGCAGGATAGGAATAGACTGCCCATCTTTCTCCTGTGGAGCAGCTGGTAGATTTGAACTGCGTGCCTTTGGGACTGCAGTGAAGCTTCTTAGCAGTAGCCTGTCGAGTCAGAACAGACCCACAGCTGACCCTCCAGCGGGTTTTCAGGGGCAATTAATCACACAGGAGGAAAATGCCCAACCTTCTCCCATGGAGCATCTGGTGGATTCGAACTGCATGCCTTTAGAGTTGTAGCGTAGCTTCTTACCACTAGGCTATCAGAAATAAGATTTCACTTTCCAAAACTCATTAACCAATCTTTTTCTCACCCAGAGACTTTGGTATATGAACAGGTTTGATATTCTACTATTTCATTGTATTGCCAAGACCAATTCTGTTAAAATTTTTATTTCTTAGCAATAACCAAGATAACGAGTTTATATTGAAGCTAGCTTCTCTATGTTAAGAACTACAACATGAGTGGAAAGTAATTAGCACATGGTCTGCTGTTGGGGACCTCTCCAAAGTACTGAAGAGCAATGGTGTCTCTCTGGAGACTAAGGTGCGTTTGATACAGGCCATGTTCTTCACAATCGCTTGTTATGCAACAGAGAGTTGGACAATGACCGGGGAGGATAGAAGGAGAATTGATGCCTTTGAGCTGTGGTGCCGGAGAAGAGTACTGAGAATACCGTGGACTGCTAGGAAAACAAACAGATTCGTCCTGGAAAGGGTTAAACTGGGTGGCTCCTTGGAGGCAAGGATTCTGAGGCTCCGTCTAAATACTTTGGACATGTTGTGAGGAGAGACTGGTCCTTGGAAAAGGACATCATGCTTGGGAGGGTGGAGGGACAGCGCAGGAGGGGAAGGCCCTCTATGAGGTGGATTGATTCAGTGACTGGGGTAATTGGGGGAGGTGTGTCAGAGACCGTGCGATTGGCACAGGACAGGGCAGAGTTTAGGGCTGTTGTACATAGGGTCGCTATGAGTCACAAGCGACTCGACGGCACGTAACAACAACAACAACAACAAACAATGTGTTCAATAAGTAAATACTGGCTAGTTGACAATTTCTTACTTTTTTCTTGCCTCTCGTTTAATAGCAGTGACCCACTTGGAGAGACACAGGTCTGTCCCACTGTAGACACAGCCATCATGAATACCCGGACAATACTTTTGTAGAGAGTCTGACTTCCTTTTTTCCCATGCGCTGGCTGTGACACCATCAGCAAGATTGCACCGCAAGCTGATACGGCAAAAACCAGAACTCCCCACTTCCATGTTCTCAAGCCTGGGTCGCAAGGCCAGAGCTCCGACAAGCTCCTCTGTCTGATGCCAACTGTGACACAGCATCATGATAAGGACCCCTCCTTACAGGCCACTGCCTCTCTAGCTTATATTTTAAATCCTACCCCTTTGGCCCAGCAGAGATATTTGATCTCAAAGAAGAGATCAAAGCAAGAAAGAATCCTCATTTTTCTACTCCTGCTGTAAAAATGTGGACAGGAATGGTGATTAATTTTATAAACCATAATGAATGGGAATGACTGTATGAAACACAATGTGAATGAAGGATAGAGTGAAACACAATGTGTATGAACTTTGTAAACAAAACCAGTATAAAATAAATTTTTTTAAGGGGACAGATCCTTTTGTAGGTAGAAGCAAGACTTCATTCATATCCTTAAATATGAGCATACTTGGATATCTACTCTTTTTGTAATGAATAAACAACATCAGTGGTTTGTATCTGGTCATTACAGAGTGGGAAGGCCAAGGCAGAAGCCAAGGGTGTTTGGTCTAACTCTGGGGTCTGGCACACAGTAAAAGTTTATTACATGTTTGTAGACTGGACGGATGAACAGTTTCCATGTCCCTCCACACCACTCACCATCGAGTACTGAGGGACGATTCCATTGGCATCACCGTGGTAGATATACACCGCCCCTGTGAAGTCATCCTCCTTGGGTGCTCCAATGGCCACATCTGAGGGAAGAGAAACAGCTGTGGGTTAGCAAAGTAAGAATATAAAGGCATTTCCCAATTCTTGCTACCATACCTAAGTCCCTTAATACCAAAAATGTCTTGGTTATTGAATACTCAGTCCTTAAATTGGGCATATGGTCTCTGTTATAGGCTGAATTGTGTCTCAAAAAATATGTGTCAACTTGATTGGGCCATAATTCTCAGTGGTTTGGCAGTTACATCATGATTTAATCAGCCACCATCATGCGATTCAATATAATCAGCCAATCCGTTTTGAAGGGATTAGGATCAGATGGAAGACCTTTCATCAGGTCACAGCCGTGAGTCCACATAAGGGGAGTATCCCTTGAATGTGGTCTGCATCACCTTTCATTTCATAAGAGATAAAAAGAGAAAGCAGTGAGTTGAAAAGGAGGAAATTCAGTACCAATAAGAAGGAAGAGCCAAGAACAAAGCTCATCTTTTGGACTGGGGTCTCTGTGCTGAGAATCTGCTAGATCAAGGGGAAGACTGGTGCCAAGACACATGGAGGTCTCTAAGGAATGCCGATCCACAGATGCCGAAGGACACAAGGACTGTCCTCCTAAACCGCAACAGAGAGAAAACCTTCCTCTAGAGTCTGTTCCCTGAATCTAGACTTCCAGGTCCTAAAATTCTAAGTGAACAGATTCATTTTTTACAGCCACCCACTGTGATATTTCTGTTCACAGAAGCACTAGATAACATGTCAAGTAGGTAAAACATGCATAGAAAGAAAATCTGAGAAACAGAAACTAGGCTCATTCTATGTAAGTTTCTATCTTATCTTCATGGGGAAAAAAATCAATGGCTCAATCAACAAATGAAATACAAATAAACACCACTCAACCTAATTTCTATCTTATCACAGAGGTGAATTCTATAAATGATGATTATTAGAGGACTAAGAAAGTGAACTCGATTTCCACCTAAAGGAATTTTATAGAATAATGTTCAACTCATCAGAAAATGAATTTTCTTTCATGACCTTACTACTTCAGGGACAATGCTTTGTGAGTCATCTTCCACCACCCACCCA